ATATTGTTGAATTTATTGTTACATTTATCAGTGGTGCATGCCTTTTTTTCCCCCTCCCTTATTCTTTATGAGAGGGGGAATGACAGAAAACGAGGTAGGTATTTTTGACAAGGTCTTGCTGTGTTGTGGTCCTGGCTCCCAGTTGGCTAGGGGTATAGGTGTGTGCATCCCTGCCTTGGTGTGTTCAGGTTCTCAGGCTTCTAGCTTTCCAAGCGGTGACGGTATCTATGCACTGCCGTGGCTGGACAGGTGCTTCCCATTTTATTGCCTGTATGATGTTACTTCTGTAAGTACACCTTGATTTGTTTATTAATTCTCTTGTTGATGGAGATTCAAGTTGTTGTCTATGAACAATCTTTTATAAATCTTCTCATACATATATGTTTCTATTTTGGGGGGGGCGGTAAATACATAGGACTGTAATGCTGAGCCATAGATGAGATGTTTAGTTTTTTTAAGAGGCAGTTTTTCAAAATTGTAGTATTGTTTTACACCTTTGCCAGGAATGCATGCAAGTTCCTGTTTCCCCACATTCTTGCCAGCATTTGGTGTTGCCATTTTAGTTTTAGCTGTCCCAATAGTGACATGATAGTTCACGGTGATTTTAATTTGCATTTCCCTGATGCCTGAGATGCTGAGCACCTTTTCCTGAGTTTCTTGGCCATTCTTTTATGTTCTGTGAAGTATTTATTCACTCTTTGGTTCAGTTTTAATTGGGCCATCATTTTGTTTTTGTTTGATTTGTTCATTGTTCTCTATGGGCCACCTGGTGGTATGGTGGTTCAGGTGACGGGATCCTATATGCCAGCTGCACAGTTCAAGTCATGGACCCAGTGGTCGGGAAAACACCCTGGCCATATATGGATACCCTTAACCCTGGGAGGACAGAGAAGGGATTGAGGAATAGCCATACCCATGGGGAATGCCTTCTCTCTCTGTCTCTGTCTCTTTCTCTCACTCTCCTACTCCAGCAAGTGCATGTACCCTCCGACAAAATTTAAAAAGGGAGAGAGGGAGGAAAAGAAAGAAAGAAAGGGAGGAAGGAAGGAAGTCTTTTTATACTCCAGACATCATTCTCTCTCAGTTACATGTTCTGTAAATATTTTTCCTCAGGATGTGGACCTCTTTTTTATTTTCTCATTGGCGTCTTAGATAAACATAGTTTTAATTTTGCTTAAGTCTAATTTATCCAGTTAAAATCATATTCTAGCACCTTTGCTTAACAGATGTATTGTCCACCATTTGCTTTGATTCCTTTGTCAAAAATTAATTCTTCATATATGTATAGGTCTGTTTCTAAACTCTTTATTTTATTCCGTTTATCTGGGTTTTTTTAATCCTTAATGCTAGTACCATATTGTCTTGATTATATAACTTGATAGGAAGTCTTAGAATCTGTCTGATTTCAAGTTGGTTTGTCACTTCTAGATATTTTGCTTTCCTATATTTACTGTCAACTCCTTAAAAAACACAAAGCCTATTGAGATTTCAATTGGATTTGTAAAACTGTTAACTCATTTGGGAAAAACTATTTATAACATCTTAACAATATTGCATCTTCTAGTCCATGTATGCGATGCACTTTTCCATATATGTAGCTCTTCTTTACATTATCTTAATCATGTTTTATCATTTTAAGGTTGGGTTTTGCACATTTTTTTGTTTGTTTCATTCTTAAGTATTCTCTGGCTTTTGTGAAAGTATTCCTTTAAAATTTCATATCCCAATTGTTTGTGGCAAATATATATAAATATAGTCATTTAACTTTTTTTTTTTGTATCTTGTCTTTTTGTGTGTATATCACTTTGGCAAATTCATTTATTAGTTCTAGTAGTTGTTTTGTAGTCTTATCTAATGATTTCCCACATATCTATGAGCTATATTTAAAGACAGAGACACCAAAAACCAAAGACCCTACAAAATCACAACTAAAACAATAAAGCAAAATAGTTCTTTTTTTTTTTTTTTCAATGTTCCTCGAAGAATTCTTACTAAGAATGTAGTTGCTGTTCAGACCCAGGTTCAGCATTTAGTCCTCCTGTATGTTTTTTGTGTCATCTTTTGGTCTTTTGGTCCATTTCAGAGTGTTGGCCCCTTTGATTCAACCTTCTTCAATGGGATTATTGAAGTACTGAATTCTTTTTCTCATTATGAGTATCCAGAAGTAATAGTCAGCTTTTTTTTTATTTTAGGAATTATTTATTTAATTTTATTAATAATAATTATTATAGCTATTATTTTTAATTTGACCAAAGAGAGAGAGAGAGAGCAAGAAAGTAAGAAAGTAAAGTCACAATGTCCAGGACTCAAACCACAATTGGCCATGTGGGAGTCTAGTGCCTTAACCACCACTTGATCTGCCAGCCAGTAATAGTCAGCCTTGAGAGGACAGATACCTCTCTTTGACTTTAGCAAGCCAATTAATTTTTCTGGACTGTTTCCATGTCTGCAAGATGACAGGATTTGACCAGATTCTTTCTAAGGGCTTTTCTGGACTCGTGTGAGCTCTTCATTTTAGTTCTTAGCACCTCAGAGGCAAGTAGACAGGTAAAGGTTGTTTTAGAGTTTACTGTTTTAGGATTTATCGTAATTGCTGGTATTTCATTAATATGCTGGAGAATTGAGAAACAATCAGAAATTCCTTATTAATTCTGTTTATTCTAGAAGATTTGTCATTTATATCTGTGGCTCTGTGTTGGGAATTTATAGTGAACTCACTTTAATTTTTCTACAACTTATATTTCTAGGCTTCATAGAGCCCAGTGTGCAATTAAACAGACTCAGGTAACTGTTCAGAAAATTGGAAAGGAAATTGAAGAAAAACTAAGACTCACATCTACAAGCAATGAGCTGGTAGGTTTTTATGTTTACCTATTTAAACTCCTTCCTTTCTAAATGGGATTTTCATATTTTACTTAGATTAATTTTTTTTTCCAAAAGACTTTAGGTAGTAATTATTACTGTTTTTCATAATATTTCACTGAGACTTCTGTTGACATTTAAATGTTAGAAGTAAACTTTCCCATCCGCTAATAATGTAACATACAAAGTGCCTCCCTTATTCTGCCAGATGAAACTTGAGATTACATACCGTTATTCAGAAGATAATTAGCAGACTAACTTATTAATGTCTTATAGATGTGAACTCTAAACATGAATGAAAAATAGCTGCTAGGAGAAAAAAAATAAACTATAGGGACTGATTTCTTTTAAAAGATGAATTTTAAAATTATATTGATTGAGCATAATAGAGTGGTTTGTAGTCAGGGCTCACTTTTGGGAAATACTCATCTGGTGGAGGCATTTCCAAAGAAATAGCGATTCCAACCCAAATGGACAAAGTTAAGACATTAGTATAATTTTGGGTTGCTTTATACTCTTTATAGTGGAGAGGGGGGAAAAAAACATCAGTTTAAAAATTAAGATTCTATCTTTGTTAGCAGAGTCGTAGGTCTGACTAATAAAGTGAGCCTTTTTTAAAATGAAACGACACGGCTATGAATAGCTTTGAGTGTAACTTATGCTATGAATTCTGATGCTTAAAATAAAATTCAGGTCTTTGAGTCCTAGACAAAATTGTGTATATATATATATATATATATATATATATATATATATAGACTATTTGCACAAATTCATTATCACTGGTAGCACAAATTCATTATCACTGGTAGCACCGTCCAGTCGTCATTTATGCTGCCATTAGGTTGGCAGAAGGCCTTTACATCATCACATAAAAGCTTGTTACCATAAAAATTAGTTCAAGATAGTAATATAGTAGAAGAGTTATAGAAAAGTAGCAGTGCAATTAACCTAGAGACTTCTTGTTCATGGAATTTGATCTTAACCTATTAGGCCCAACCACGGTACATGTCCACAGACTCCCATTACTCAGCAGGCTGAGGCCACGTGGGAGGCCTGGGCTTGATTTCTGGCCCACCCTGAAAAAAAAGCACACCTGTAGTCCCAGCTCTTTGGGAGGCTGAAGCAGGAGGGTCACAGCTAACTGATGCCTTTGAAAAAAAAAAATAAAGTTTTCAGGTTTTATTGACATAGGGCACATGCACTCACTGGAGAGATATATAGAGAGCAAGAGGGAGAGTGAGAAATCACCTCCCAGGAGTGATGGCCATGCCGCAATCCCTTCTCCATTATCCTCATGGGGTTTGGGACATGTACACACATGTGTCTGGTGTGATTTTTAAGCTACTGGTTCTAGTCACACCACAGTCGGCCATGTGGGAGTCCAGTGCCTTAACCACCATGCCACCTGCTAACCCTGAGCTCAAGATTTTATAATAAAAGAAATAAATGTATTAGGTCAACCTGTATAAAATTGTTGCATTCAACTCATAAATTCATATAGTTCAACCTAATACATAAAATAGTGTTGTATCTGCAAATAGCAGGCACACGAGATATAGTAGCTACAATAACAATAGTGGCCTTTATTATATATATGACTTTCTTTTCTCTGGAAAATCTCCCATTTTGGAGACACTGTCAAACCATCTTTAGTTGTAATTTAGCCCTAATAAAGGACCAAATTCCAGACCATTTGAGGGGGAGAAGAAAATAGCTAATTTAATCCTTTCTGTAGCGTACAAAAATGCTACAGTTTTAAAACCTTTGGGGAGAAATTGCTAGGTTTTATTTTTCTTATTTTCTTCTCCCCAGGCAAGATGGGAAATTACTTGTTTCATTAAACGACAGCATATGCTTTGTCTCAGTGTGAAAAAAATGTATGTTTAATCCTATTTTTCTAAAATATAAGTGGTGACACTCAGAACAAGGTGATAGAATGTTTGAGTGTAAAGAGGTCAGGTTCAGAGGTTCACTGTGGGTTTTTATGCTGCCTAGTCAACATGGAAGGGAACCATTGGATTTCTGAACTGAAAATGAACCTAGAAATCATGTGCTTCCCAATAACCTAGTTTAAAACCACCACCACCCCCCCAGTACCTTCTCCATAGTATTTGTGACCATTTCGCATGATGTATGTACTTACAGGTTTGTCTCTCTGAACTCTATGAGGAGAGGAATTTTTGTTGTTTTCTTTCATCGCTGCATCCTCATTGTCTAAGATAGTGTTTGGCACATACTAGGTACTGAATAAGCATTTACTGACTTTGAGAATGAGTCTAGCATAAATGTCTTTTTTTAAAAAAAGAATTGTTGGGACCAGCAGTTAGCGTAATGGCTATGTCGCTGGACTCCCATGTAGTCGACTGTGGTTCGTGTCCTGGACCCAGTGGCTTAAAACTCACTCTGGGCGCGTGTGCGTGCGTGCCCAAAATCCCGAGAGGAGAACGGAGGAGAAGGGATTGCGGCGTGGCCATCCCCCCGGGGGGTGATTTCTTGATTTCTGTCTCTCTGTCTCTTTCTGTCTGTCTGGCGAGCACACGTGCCCTATAGCAAAAACCTCTCTCTCAAAAAAAAAAAAAAGAATTGTTTAATTTATTTATTTAAATTTGTCATAGGACATGCATGCCCAACAGAGAGAGAGAGATACAGAGACAGAGAGAAACAGAGACAGAGAAAGAAAGCCACCAGGTCCAGCATCCTAATCACTGTGCCACCTGCTGTCCCCCATAATGTCCTCTTGTGATGTGAAGGAAAACAGGGTTGATGAAGGCGAGCAACTTCCCGGTAATCATTTGATCAATAGAGACAGGGTTTGGTTCACTGTCTCCTTTCAGGGAAGAATGCCATCTAGTTTTATTCACATTCAAGTTCACCTGTAGCATATTGAAAACCTTTATTGCTACCTTTTGTTTTTTCATTCTCTTTCTACATTGGCCCACAGCCATCCTACTCTACCTCAAGCATTTTCAATGTGTAATAATTAATTTTACTCTTAGCCTAAGTGGAAATACAGTGAGAAGGTGTATTTCATGTCGAAAGAAGTCAGTTTACCTTCTAAGACCACATGTAATTAACTCTGCTATAAGAAATAGGGTTCATATTAATGACTTTCAAAGATTTGGCATTATGTCAAAGCCTGACCTTTTTTGGGGGGGGAGTTGAATTCTATTTCTTATAAAAGTTCTGCTGTTGTCATATTGAATTTTTACTTATACGTTGCAGATTTTGTCAGATGCCTTTCCTGTGTCTGTTGAATTAATTGTATACTTTTTTCTTTCTAATGTTATAGTGAAATACATTGGTTGGTTTCTGAATGTTAATCCAACTTTAGATTCCTGGGGAAAACCCTCTTGGTTGTGGTGAATTTTTCTTTTTATGACTGTTACTGGATTCAATTTGTTAAAAAAAATTTGAAGGACTTTTGCATATATATTCATGAAGAATATTCATCTGTAGTTTTGTTTTCTTGTAATTGTCTTGTCTGTTTTGTTGTCAGGGTAATATTGGCCTAAACTCACTGTTGGCAAGTGTTTCTTCTTTTCTGTTTTCTGGAAGAATATGTGTAGAATTGAAATTATTTCTTAAGTGTTTGGTAAATTTTACTATTAAAGCCTTCTGGGCCTGGAGTTTTCCTTGTGGGAAAGTTTTGAACTAGAAATTCAGTTTCTTTAATAGTTATAGGGTTGGTCAAGGTCTTGAGTTTTTATTTTTAGCCATTTCAATGTTGTGTAGTTTTTTTCATTTTGGTTCTAAGTTGCAGTTCTGTCATTAGTCTTTTTCATATTCTACTGGTCACTTGTGTATTTTTATGAAATTTCAATGCATGTATTTTTTAAGTTTCTTTTTTTATTTCTTCAGAGAAAGAGAGACCCTCAACAAGGCTGTTATGCTGTGACCCACACTCTAGTTAATTAGCCAGCCGGGATTATGAGCATGCATGGTATTCAGGGAGACCCTGAGATGGACATTAACACAAGACCTTTCCCATGATGCTCTAGTAGTGTTACTGCTGACCAAGCCAAACTGGTCCCAGTTCAAATATGTTTTTCTATAAAAAATATAAACTATTGGGCCAGCCAAGTGCAGAGGTTGAGTACTTGCTGGGAGAACTAGAACTTACATGGTTGACTGCAATTTGTGTCTTATCGCCAGTGGTTTGAAAAACATGCTAGGTGCATGTATGTGTGTGTCTAAAACCCTGATAGGATGGAGAAATGGAAGAAAAATTATAGCAACGTGAGCATGCCCTGTTTGGGGGCCCTTTTTCTGGTGAGCACATCTGCCCTCGCCAATCAAAAATATGTATATATAAACTCTTTATTTTAGATTTACAGGAAACTTGCAAAGATAATTCAGAGCATTCCATATACCTTTCATCCAGTTTTCTCCAGTGTTATTAACCATGGACTTTATTCATATTTCACCAATTTTTCCACTAATATATATTTTTTTAATAAATAAAATATTTAATTTTAGCACAGTTTTAGACTGATAGAATTTTGCAAAGATAGTACAGGGACTTCTCTCATGTAACCTATATCCATTTCTTCCAGTTATGATTATTATTATTTTTTAGAGAGATTATTTTAGAGATTTTTGCTATAGGGCGTGTGTGCTTGACAGAGAGACAGAGAAACAGAAAGCGAGAAATCACCCACCAGGAGAATGGCCATGCCTCAATCCCTTCTCCTTCACTCTCCTCTTGGGATTTTGGGCATGCATGCACACACACCTGGCATAAGTTTCAAGCCACCTAGTTTGGGACTCGAACTATGGTTAGTCATGTGGGAGTCCAGTGATGTAACCATCATGCCATCCGCTGGTCCCAATATTCTTTTCTTCATATGGTACATTTGTTATTATTAATGAACTTATCTTGATAACTTATCAGTGAAAGTCTGAGCTTTTTCAAATTTCCTCAGCTTTTACCTAATATCCCTTCTTGTATTAGAAACTCTCATCCATTAAATTATTCCATATTTTAAGAA